AAGCCAGCGGGAAGCCGCTGCGGCGACGGCTTTGCCGAGGGCCGAAGCGCTGCCCCGGCTCCCGCCGCTCTGGGGTTTCATACCCGGGAAACAAAACTGCCGCAGGACGCTCGCTTGCGAGTCACGTTTCGTATTTATCTAAGCGGGCCTGGGAGATCTGCTTCTGTTACAACGATGTTGAACGCCCCCAAGTAACTGGTGCGTTACCCTTGCTGTTCGTTGCTTCTCTTAGGGTTGTACTGGGCTCGCAGAAATGATACAAAAGAGGATATCTGCGCCCAGAAGAATTCACCATTTGGTCAGACAAGACAGACAAATTAGTAGTTGTCTCCACTCTTTTATTCCTGCAGCAATTAGGGTGACCGGAGAGCTGAAGAGCGAATGCTACGACACTTGGGCCGAAGCCTGCTCCAGTTGCACAAGTTTCCCAGCGCTAGTCCGTGGCTCAGTATGTCTTCAGGGTTGTCCATCAGCTCTAACGCAGCGCTGCCAGGCGGTCCTAATGACAGCTGAGCTGTTGGGACAAAGCACTTTGAGCAGGGAGCTTTCCTGAAATATCTCTGCATAGCTTTTTTTTTAACTTGAGTTTCTTCATCGAGTCCAAGAAATGTGGCAAAAGGCAGTTTTGGGAAAGGTCCTGCTGTGTCATAGGCTTTTGCCCTTTCCCAGCCGTTTGTGTACAGCTCTATTTCAGGGTGGGAATAATTCAGGCCTGGCACAAACATGCAAATTTGTTGATTTTGACAGGGGAACAGCACGATGCGTTTGGCCCTATGCGTCTGGAATAGGACACACAAGCAGGCACTAATCCTGACGTTGGAATGATCAAATCACGGGTGATAAGACCGTTTCCAGTAAGTGTATTTCCCTTGCCTAGCTCTGTCTAGTCCAAGGACAGACCTAGGAACGCTAAAAAATTTGTGTATGCTTTCAGGGTCTCTTTCTATGCATTTGATTGTAGATGCGTTTTCCTGGTCGTTCTCATTCTGTGGTCTGATTCATTTGCACAGCCGGCTCTTCTGTGCAGCCTGACCCATGAGGTGACAGTGATGGCTCCAGGGACCAGTTTTCTTTTTCTGGAAGAAAATAGTAAGTTGATGATATTTTCTGAAAGTCACGCTTCTCTGCTTTGCTGCCAATACTTAAAACTAGTTTGAAAGTGGAATTAATGTTTTAAAATCTCTTTAAATAGACTGAGATTTTGGCTTGAAGAATTTGATGAATTGCTTCCAGTGAAAATTTCTGAAAAGGATAGACCCTGTAGCAATCAGCAAAGTTCACAAGAACTCCTCATTTTGTAAGAAAAATTCACTTTCACATTCTAGATAGTTCTGCCCTTTAAGGATTGTGTTCCTCAGATGCTATTCTGGTATTTCTACAACTATATATGGACTCTATTGCTCCTCAGTGTTTTCCTGTGATATTCTTGTTCTCAGAGCTGAGTAAAGGTCAGGCCAGGAAGTCTTTGATTGTAAATCTCCCTAGAACACCTTGATGCTCTTCCTGAACACAATGAATGGGAGAGAAGATCGATTAAGATTTCTGCTGTGCAGGTTATGGGAACTAACTGCTACAGGTATAGCAGAGGCATAGTTGTTCTGCATTGACAAGACAATGATACATATTAACCATTAAGTTGTGCTAATCATAAATATTTATACCTGATGGCCAAACGGCCAAAAAAAAGGAAAAGAACCCTCACAATTTCTGGAGAGAGTCCCTCCCTCTCTTTTGAATTCTTTATTTCCATGGCAGATTGCAACTAATACTCACAATTTTTATGGATTTTCTTTAGCTGACTTCCAAGCATTACACACCTTTATATCTTTTTCAATCTGTTTGTTAATCATTTTTCTCCAGAAGGCTGACTTCCTCAGGGACTCTCCTTACCTTCGAAATATACAGCCTGCCCAAAAACAAAGGACAGTAAAATTAGGAAAAGAAGTTCAGAGGATTTTTTTTTTTTTGGCCAAAATTTGAATTGAAAATTTGAATCTGTTTTTATTATTTATTCCTTTTTATTTCTTCATCAAGGACATTTTGATAGATAGTGTTCCAGTGGCCGGATTGGTCCCACAGTGCAGTCTCCAGGATGGCCAAATGGTCCAAAAAAAAAAATTAAATTTAAAAAATTTCTGAAAGTGGCCTGTTTTGAAAGCAGGAAAAGAATTAAAGCAATTAAACATTTTCCAAATAATGATTTTTCATTAAAATTCAGTGCTGGAAAAGGGCTATATTTGTTGAAAGTTCCTGAGCAGTTCACACAGAAAAGCTCTTTCTTCAATGCCCTACCTAGAAACTAGTGTATTGCAGTGATCATAACATACATGTTTCTGGTACTGAGAGGGGACAGGTCTGCTATAGTCCTCTATTCTAGAACTTGTCTTTTCTAGAACTTGTCTTTTTCGATCAAGCTGTGACAAATTAAACTTTTAGCTCAGGAGTTTCTCAGCCCGGTCCCTGCTGTTGGTAAGGTTGTTGCAGACGTTCACTTCGCTGGGTGCTGTCCTTGACTGAGAGAGAGATTTTGTTAGAGAAGATTCTACCGGAAGCGAATGAGGCCGGATTCAAGTCACGTAGTATTTGTGTTCAAATTGAAACCTAACGTTTAGGGGTGAAACACAACATTGTATAACTGAAACTAGTTTCGTGTGAAATCAAATTGTTGTGACGTGTGTTTGCTTATCTCCTTGCCTTAGACTGGACAGGTTTACTTCCTACAAGCTCTTTAGAGAATAGGGACATGAGCAAATCACTGAGTTTTGAAAAGAGGTGGTGACTCAGTCAGTACCGCAAAAGTTTGACAGTTTCAAGAAGCTTGGGGGAACAGTGTAGTTTAGTAAAATTTGTTTCCTGCCAGTACAATTATTGTCACTGCTTGTTCATTACAAAGAAACCCAAGTGGGCACAAGTGTCAAAAGTTCAGGTAGTGATGGGTCCAAAATGGAATAGCAGGGGTTGTGTGACTGCTACAGGGAGAGAGGAAGGTGCAGCAGGCCCCCAGAATTAAACCAAACATAATAATTTGATAGATAAGGAAAGGAGAGTTTCATGTGGTCCATTTAGATCAGACTTCTCAACCGTCCTCCGCTGCCATGTGGCCTAGGAAGAAAATCGTCTCCAGGATAGTCTATCCGTTTCGTCACTCGTTGCTTTGCCTTTACAACTCAGAAAGCTGCTACCTTCTTGTCCTGCCCTCATTGCTCCTTTGTATTCCTCTGAAATATTTCCCAATATGTTTCTCTTAGCATTGTTCTCAGATGACTTGGTACTCATACACTGTCCCTGTCCCTGCTGCTCTGTATTGCTCGTGTCCTCTCTCTCATTGCTTGCAGTAGAACAAGGTGCTGGTACCCAGAAGTGCCACCAGGAATGGAGAATGTTGGGTGGGTAATGTATAGACAGTGAGTGGGAAGCTTCCTTGCATCCAAAGAGTTCACATCTTAAATTTGTAACGTAGAGAATGCATGCTGTTTTGCACATACAGGACTGGACCCGTATGATCCGATGTGATGTCTGTAACGGTGCCAGAAAGAAAAATGAGCAGAGACCTTAGCCATCCTTACAGTGTAGAAGCTTGGAGGTTTCTCCTGTAACTCTTGGATGATTTTGACTGTCACAGCGATAGGTAATGTACTTCCATGAAGCTTACATATATTTATATTTTTAGAAATTGTAATGATTTAGTGATGGACACAGTGGAGAGACTGTGGTCCCATATGCTCTGAATGTATGTGGCCTTTGGGGAGGTGGTTGAGGGTATTTCCTTTGTAGTTTCTTTTCTTACCTGAAGGCAGAAATTTGGTTAAAATGCATTGAGACACAGTCAAATGCATCCACCTGTTCTACCTTGTCAGTGACATACAGAGAGTCTGCAGTTTTTGTGCTTTGAGTATTCTAATGGCTAACAAAACAAGGAAGCTGCCTTCCACTAAATTCAGGGGTGAGTCAAATTCTAGTCTGTGTGATGGGCTGACCTGTTATTTCATGCCTTCTGTGGAACATTTTGCATTGGGCTTTCCAGAAATGTTTTACCATTGCTCAACATCAATTTTTTCCCCACCTCCTGCTTCTATCACGTTTTTTGATAGGTGAGGACGAGCTCTCAGGGTTACGTAGACAAGATATATATACACACATAGGCACTGACACGCACAAAACACACATAGGTTGAGGTAACATATATACTGCTTATAGGCAGTAGGCGTTACCACCAGGGGAACAGTTATCCTGTGCTGTAAGGAAACACCTGGAGAAGGTAAGACATCAAACTCTGAAGTACTATTTAGAGTGATTTGGTGCTGGCATTCAGCAGCTGTCTGTGGTCACCACAGGGTCAGCATTTTCCAAGGGGTTGAAAGGAGTATAACTGTGACCGCTTCTTGGATGCATGGTACTTAGATGAAGCTGTCCTCTAGGATCAGAAGCGTGTGTTATTGACGCGCTGCTGCTGGCTGTACTGAACGGAGCAGCTGCTGCTATACTTTTCTCTGAAAGCGATGAAGGGAAAGGCAGAAGTTCATATCAACAAACATGAGAAGAATGGATGTGATTTAAAGAAACTAGATGAACCATGACAGCTGCTCTGCATGTCACAGCTCCAAAGCTTCTGCGGGTCAAATGGCTGTGAACACAGGCTCGTGTTTTAGCTAACCTGGATTTCTTGCACCTTTCTTCTCTCAGCTTTGCTGTTTAGGGACAATTTAGCCGATATTTGACCACAAAGTATTCTGCAGAGATCAAAAATTTATTCTGATGTAAGCTGGAGTTATGGCTAGTCAGGATCTCTGATAATAGAGTGTTTATAAATAGAATGTTGTAACCTTAATCGCTAAAGGACAGGCCTGGCAGATCGTAAATGGAAATTTCATATTTCCACTGATTTCAATTTGCCCAGCGAAGAATATGAATTTTAAATTCTTGGCCAAAGTCTTTAAGAGTGAGTCTTTGCCCGGAGAGATATTGATTATGGTTCTGAAAACCACACAGGCTTTTCAGCTATGGACTTATTAATACCGGTGGAAGACTCTGCGGCAGGTTCCCTGCCGCTGCCTTGACAATCTCAGCACCAGAAGAAGGTGTTCGTCACCTTTTGGGCTAATAATCTAAGCACAGGGAATTCAGGGCAGGGTCCTCCACCTTTCAGTGTGTTCATTCATTTTGTGAGAAAACATGGTTCAATGCTTCTTTTCAGGGTATTTGTATTTGCTAAAATGCCCGCAGAAAGAGTGGGAGTCAGCTCCGGGTTTTTGTTTCTGTAATATACTGCTGTGTTTAATCAAAAACTTAAGGCTGTACCTGTAAAAGCTGTTAAAAGAGACTAATAAAAATTAACAAAGCTTACAATAGTCACATTTCCATTTTTGAATAACGGGTGTTAATTTTTGTAGTTAATGCTCTACTGTATTTTGAGACTGAGGTAAAAGATGGCCCCATATCACTTGCTTTGCTCACTCTAAAATTTATTATTTCACTTAGAAACATTTGCTGTTTTCTGAGCAATCAGGAGTGGATTTTCAGCCCAAATACAGATTGTAACCATTAAATCAGTGGAGCTGGGCTGAGCTGTGTTAGCTCCAGGTTTAGAGCCCTTGAGTGCAATCTGCTTCAAGATAAATCCTCTCATCGAGAGAGAAAGATTTTCTCAGGGAATCATTTCATCATCCAGTTACTTTTACTAAAAGTAAAAGATTTGCTGTGGATTCTTCAGATTCTTATTTTAAGATTTAGGGACCAGGCTACCTCATGGCATCTAAGACGATGAGAAAGGTCAGGGGAGATCACAGGATGTTAATTTGGTGGAAGGAGTTACATCAGATAGCAAACATACTAGAGGAATGTGCAAAGCATACAGGATCAGATCCACCCAGCCTACTCATTCACAGTTTCCATCTAAAGCTTTTAACCTCTATGTACTACACTTGGCTGCTTTCCCTTAGAAATTATAATTGCTGGAAGAGACACGCACGCACTCTACTCCACCCATGCCAGAGGACATGGTGGAGCACGCTGAGTGCTGGCCGTCTAGCTCAGTAACATGCCGAGTTGAATGCAGGTGATTTCCAGCTGTATTTTGGCTAGTCGTATACTGCTGTTTCTGGTTCCTGCTGTTACACATGGCTCTAAAGCCAGACAGCAGGCAGAGCGTTAAAACGCTAGGTGGAACGTATTGTAGCTGTGTAGGTAGTGACTGCTCATGACACAAAATGCTTC